GGCTGGATGTCTCTCCATTTTAAAAGCAGTCTTTCTTTCTTGTGAAAACTGGGTTCTCTTGTTTGATGATGCGCCGTAATGCGGAAGTAGGTATATTTAAAAAAAAATAAAATAAAAAATAAAAGCAGTCTTCCTTTCTTGTGAAAACTGGGTTCACTTGTTTGATGATGTGCCATAATGCAGAAGTATTATTTAAATTGGAGACTTCCGTTTAAGAGTGCTAATAGGAACTCTGAGATATAGCGGTGATTATAAAAAGTGCAGTATGAACAGATCTGTACCTATTCCACTGGGATCTTGACTTTAATACACATTGGCATCTCACTTTAATTCTGCCACTGCCAGCGGTCTGCTTCTATAGATCAAACCTCTTGTCTGCTGGCCTATTGGATCACTCCGTATCCAAATAACATAGGTCTCTGTGCTGGGCTGGATTTCATGCTGCAGAAAATAAAGCATTGTCAAGGGCAGATGTTTCTGAGGTCCCAAATCTGTGGCACTTCATTGTCAATTTTAGAGGAATACAGATTTCATTGTCCGGTCCCTCTCCTGTTGCATTGGGGTATGGGATGATGTGACAGTCCTCAACTGTCCCAGGATTCTCTCTTGAATACTTTTTTTACTCTGAGACAATCACAAACTTACAGAAAAGTTGGAAGTACCATACAGATAATTTTCCTACTTTGATAATAAGTTGCTGACCTCATGCTGTATCACCCCAAAATATGTCCCTGTGTATTTCCTACAAGCAAGGACATTGTCCTACAGAAAACCAAAATAGAGCCATTAAAATCAGGAAATGAGCAGTGGTAATTGTTGCCATCAGACCCTCAAACCCCATTTAAGTTTTATCAAATGTCCCATTACTGTCTTGGGTAGCAAAAGGGTCTAGTTCAAAATCTCATGTACTTGTTGACTAGTCAGTCGCCTTCCGTCTGGAACAGCTTTTCAGTCTTTTATTTTGACATGAAACAATTTATTTTTGACCGTTGTGGCCTTGCCACTTTTGAAGAATATCCCTTAGTTGGGGTTTGTCTGATGTTTTCTGTGAATAGATTCAGATGATGCATCTTTGACAGGCGTAGCACAGAAGTGATGTCCTTGTATCTCATTAAGTGAGTGATTTTCATTTGTCCTGTTACTAATGGTGTTCATTATAATTAGGGGGGTGGCCCTGGCCAGCGTGGCTCAGTTGGTTGAATGTCCCCCTATGCACCAAAAGGTAGCTGGTTTGATTCGGTCAGGGCGCATGCCTGGGTTACAGGCTCAATCCCCAGTAGGGCCATGCAGGAGGCAGCCAATCTTTCTCCAACTCCCTTCCTCTCTCTCTAAAAAAACCCCCATATTCAATTAGAGTGGTATCTGTCAGGCTTCTCTCCATTTTAAGATTATGCTTCCTCTTTGTAATTAAATGATGTTTTGTGAGAAGATGCTTTATTTTGATTTTCATCAAACTTTTAATATATACATTACTAACGGCTCTATATAGTTTTTGGGTTTCTTATTTTATTCTATGGGTTGTAACGTATAAATATTATTTTGATAATAAATCCTCTTTCTAGGATTCTTGACAAACTGAGGAATAAAGGGAATCCCAGAAGTAGTGATTTTTTTTTTAAGTAAACATTATTTTAGGTATAATTTACAGTATACCTAATTGTATAAATACACTACAATTGGCCTTTTTTAGGTCCACAGTTCTGTGTGGAATTATTAGCCCCACAATCAAGGTACAGCACAAATCCTGGCCCAGTAGCTTAGTTGGTTAGAGCATCGTCATGTGGGTTCAATCCTGGTCAGGGCACATACAAGAATCAACCAATGAATGCATAAATAACTGGAACAAGAAATCAATGTTTCTCTCTCAAATTAATTAAAAACAACAACAACGTATATTCACATTGTTGCACACCATCCTCCAGAACTTTCTTATGCCACGGAACTGAAACTCTGTGTCCGTTTAATAATAAGTCCCCACTCCCATTCCAAGCCTCTTGCAACCACCATTCTGTTTCTCTGTCTTCGTGAATTCGACTGCTCTGGGCACCTCATGGAAGTGAAATCATGCAGTACTTACCTTTTTCTGACTGGCTGTTTCACTTAGCACAATGTCCTCAAGGCTTGTCTGTACTGTAGCATGTGACAGGATTCCCGTCCTTTTTAAGGCTGAATAATACTCCAATCTATACTAATAAAAGCCTTGGGGGTGATCTGGCCAGCAGGGGAGGGCAGTTGGGGATGATCAGGCCAGCAGGGGAGCTGTTAGGGGGCGATCAGGCTGGCAGGTTGAAGCACTTAGGGGCAATCAGGCAGGCACGCAGGTGAGTGGTTAGGAGACAGCGGTCCAGGATTGTGAAAGGGATGTCCAACTGCCGGTTTAGGCCCGATCCCAGCAGTCGGACATCCTGGGATCAGGCCTAAACCAACAGTCGACATTCCCCAAAGGGTCCGAGATTGGAGAGGGTGCAGGTTGGGCTGAGGGACACCTCCTCCACTAGTGGATGTATAAACCACATTTTGTGTATCCATTCATCCACTGATGGACATTTGGGTCGCTTCCACCACTCGGCTATTGTGAATAATGCTGCCATGTACATGCCCATCCTGTGCACATGCCCATCCATGTGCATCCCGTGTACATGGGAGTGCAAATATCTCTCCCAGAATATGATTTCAATTCTTTTGTGTGGCTACCCAGAAGTGGGTTTGCTCTAGATTGTATGGTAACTATTTTTAATTTTTTGAGGAACTCCCACACTGTTTTCATACCATTTTACAGTTTCACCAACAGTGTGCAAGAGTTCCAATTTTTCCACATCCTCCCTAACACTTGTTATTTTATGGAATTTAAAAATATATATATTTTTGTTGATTTCAGAGAGGAAGAAAGAGGGAGAGAGAGATAGAAACATCAATGATGAGAGAAAATCATGTGTCGGCTGCCTCCTGCAAGTCCCCCATTGAGGATCAAGCCCGCAACCCGGGCATGTGCCCTTGACCGGAATCAAACCTGAGAACTTTCAGTTCGTAGGCCAATGCTGTATCCACTGAGCCAAACGGGCCAGGGTGGAATTTTTTTTTTTTTTAATAGTAGTCATCCTACTGGGTGTGAGATGGTGGTATTTCATTTTTAAAAATGTTGGTCATTCTAATGCATTGTGGTTTTAATTTGCATTTTCTTTTTAAAAAAATATATTTTTATTGATGTCAGAGAGGAAGGGAGAGAGAAAGACAGAAACATCAGTGATGAGAGAGAATCACTGATTGGCTGGCTCCTGCATGCCCCCCACTGGGGATCGGGCCCTCAACCTGGGCATACGCCCTGGCCAGGAATTGAACCCGTGACCTCTTGGTTCCTGGGTCGACGCTCAACTGCTGAGCTACACCCGGCGGGGCAATTTGCATTTTCTTAATGACTAATAGCGTTGAGCACCTTTTTATGTGCTTCTTTGCCATGCATGCATCTTCTTTGGTGAAGTGTCTCTTCAAATCTTTTGTCCAGTTTTTAAATTGAGTTGTTCATTTTCTCATGAGAATTCTTTATATACTTTGGATGCCATGTCTCTATCTGATATGTACTTAGCAAATATTTTCTACCAGTCTGTGGCTTGTCTTTTCATGTTCTTAACAAAAGTCTTACAGAGCAGATGGTTTTGATTTTGATGAAGTCCAATTTATCATTGTGTTCTTCTAGGACTTGTGCCTTTTGCGTCTTTTCTAAGAATTCCTTGCTTAACTTGGGGTCAAAAAGTTGTTTTTCCTATGTGTTCTCCTACAAGTTTTGTAGTGTTGGGTTTTAAACTTAAATTTCAAGTCAATTTTTTAAAAAAGTATATTTTATTGATTTTTTTTTTTTTTTACAGAGAGGAAGGGTGAGGGAGAGTTAGAAACATC